CATGTAGGGGGTTTCTTTTGGGAGCAGACGAAAGAGTTCTAGGATTAGATAGTGGTAATCATTGCACAATATCGTGGATCTTTTCAAAGACACAAAAATGTTATGTGACAGTATCCCCTAAGTGTTAAAATGTAGCTAAACTCAAAGCTAAGACAGGGAAATCCCAAGGGCCAAAGATGAACAGGAAAGTCAAGCCCACAGATGGCAAAACTGAATTATCCCACAAGGGCTGGGCATACTAGGTAAGAGCTAAGGAGTTAATCTTGAGTGTGGATGGGAGTTAGAGTAGCCATGCATTTTGGGAGACATGAACTATACAATACTACAAATGAGACACTTCTCTCCTCTTGACTGTGAACAACCAACCACCAACCAAAAACAAATAAAGCCAGATAGCTCCCAGTTTCTACAGCTATCTTGTGACTAACCTGAAGACTCAGGTCACAAGGAAGGTAGATGTAGACTGTACCTACAGTCATCAGTTATGGGGTAGAGGGGCAAGAAATTATTTGGTTTAGTCTACTAGTTTTGGTTACAAATTACCTTGAAGGAAGATGACCTAATGTAGTATCTGGTCATACAAAGAAAGAAAAAGAAAAGAATATAGGTACTGGATTTCTGAAGCCCTGTGTTCAGAAAAGAGTTAACATAGGCCTGAGGCTGTTATACTTAAAAGGCCTGCTTGCAACAGGCTATAGTTTGATGGTGTTGCCTTGTTAAAACTTAATCCCTTCTTGCTCTTTCATTGCTCCCACCATATGAGGACATAGCACCTGTCTCCTCCAGAAGATGCAGCAACTAGATGCCATATTGGAAGCAGAAAGCAGCAGCCCTCACCAGACATTAAACCTGCCAGCATCTTCACTATGGACTTCCCAGCCTCAAGCACTGTGACAGATAAATTTATATTGTTTATAAATTACCTAATCTGTGGTATTCTGTTATAGCAGCACAAGATACAAGGTTAGCCCTTGACTGGTGTCCAGGAACTTGAATTTCAGGAGGATTTCCAGAATTCCCTGATAAGAGTGACTCACCATGCCCCAGCTATTTGTATAATGTGATTTATGCTGAATTCCTTCTGGGAATCTAGAATTTTGGCCCAAGCTGGCCTATGTGACCAGTTCCAGAACAAAACAAACACAACACAACACAGTGCCTAGGGCACTAAGTCTCCATTGAGCTTCCTGGATAGACATTTCACATGTTACAATTCAATGCTGAAGAAACAGTACATCATGAATGATTCCACAGGAAGAGGATTATTGGAAGCTTGTACCTGATTTCTTCTGGACTTCATCCCATGCACATTTTCCCTTTGCTCAACTTACTTTATATATTTTACTATAATAAATCATAGTGACTATGATAACATAGGGTGTCTTGAGTCCTCCTAGTGAATTACAAGAATGTGAAGGTGGTATTACCAATTCTCAGCACACCATGCAAATTGAGGTAGCATGGACCTTAATGACTAGCAAGCATCCAGTGAAGGTATACTGAAGAAAATCAATAGTGGAAAAAAGTCTCCCCACTTAGATATAACTTATTGAGTAAAGCCCTTTAATCCAGCAGTTCCCAACCTTTTTGGCACAGGAGACCAGCTTTGCAGAAGACAATATTTTTCCACAAGGTGAGGTGAAGGGGATGGGGATGGTTTGGGGATGATTCAAGCACATTACATTTATCATTTTATTCTCACAAGGAGCAAGCAACTTAGATTTTTTTTTTTTTTTTTTTTTTTTAACAGAGTTTCACTCTTGTTGCCCAGGCTGGAGTGCAATGGCGTGACCTCGGTTCACTGCAACCTCCATCTCCTGGGTTCAAGTGATTCTCCTGCCTCAGCCTCCTGAGTAGCTGGGATTACAGGCACCTGCCACCACGCCCGGCTAATTTTTGTATTTTTAGTAGAGATGGAGTTTCACTGTATTGGTCAGGCTGGTTTCCAACTCCTGACCTCAGGTGATCTGCCCACCTCTGCCTCCCAAAGTGCTGGGAATACGGGCATGAGCCACTGCGCCTGGCTGCAACCTAGGTCCTTCACAAGCACAGTTCACAATAGGGCTCATGCCACTGATCTGACAGAAGGCAGAACTCAGCTTTGCTCACTTGCCCACTGCTCACCTTCTGCTGTCTGGCCCTGTTCCCAACAGGGTCTGTGGCCCAGGGGGTAGGGACCCATGCTTTAATCCACTATACTGAAAATATCACCATCATGTCCAAGGAATGTGGAATGGCATTCAAACCCACCCTTAGACCTCACTTGTTCCACATCCAGTAAGTGGATTGCAGTATATTCTCCCCTTATGCACACCTTTTCCTCAGTGAACCTTTTTAAACATACTTCCCTAACATATGTATCCCACTTTGTTTTCACTTCCGGGATTTTCTCTCTGTGTGTTATGGATTACTGCTTTAAAAGATGTAGCAAGCGAGGCTGGGCACAGCGGATCATGCCTGTAATCCTGGCACTTTGAGAGGCCGAGGTGAGCAGATCACTTGAGGTCAGGAGCCAACCTGGTGACCAGCCTGGCCAACATGGTGAAACCCCGTCTCTACTAAAAATACAAAACTTAGGCTGGTTGCGGTGGTTCACGGTGGTAATCCCAGCACTTTGGGACGCCGAGGTGGGCGGATCACAAGGTCAAGAGATTGAGACCATCCTGGCCAACATGGTGAAACCCTGTCTCTACTAAAAATACAAAAATTAGCTGGGCGTGGTGGCGCACGCCTGTAGTTCCAGCCACTCAGGAGGCTGAGGCAGAATTGCTTGAACCTAGGAGGCAGAGGATGCAGTGAGCTGAGATTGTACCACTCCACTCCAGCCTGGCAACAGAGTGAGATTCCATCTCAAACAAACAAACAAACAAAACAAACAAAAAAAACTTAGTTGGTGGCATGCCCCTGTAATTCCAGCTACTCAGGAGGCTGAGGCAGTAGAATCGCTTGAACTCAGGAGGCGGAGGTTGCAGTGAGCCAAGATCGTGCCACTGCACTCCAGCCTGGGCAACAGAGGGAGACTCCATCTCAAAACAACAACAAAAAAAAGTGTAGTAGGCATTAATTGCAAAGATAATGTTGTTCACACTCACCCATTTATCCACGTATTTGGACAGATAATTTTTTTGTTTTTATAATTGGCTTTCAGAATCCATTACTTATGATCTTATGTGCCATATAATGATATAGAACACATTTTGAGGCTTTAATTGTAAGGGATTATTATGTAGCACTTTTCAAAATTCTAATGTATATAATTTACTGCTTTGGTAATATTGATGTTTAATAAGGAATTAAAATTAATTTATGGAATTATAAAATGGAAAAATACCACAAAATGCTCATTGCTAGAGAAAATTGCTAAAAAAAAAAAAAAGTATCCTTTACACATTATCTTATGCATGTACATACACACTCACAAAAATGTATGGATTTCATTATGCTACAAAGGCTATAGTCTATGATCTTCCAAAGGCCGTATTATTTCTTTATCCTGTCATTACAGATACCTGCCACCATTTTAATGGCTTCAGGTCAATACAAGAATGAAAATATCAAAAGTCAACTTATTACGGAGGAACACACACTTCCATTTAAAACAATTCATTGATATCATTGATATGTTACTTAGTCTTTTTGGTAGTTTAATCTCATAATCATAAATTCCAATTATATAACTTCCAGATCAGAGATATACAGTGTAAATTCTGAAAAACACTCTTCCTTAAACCCATGTTTACTGGGAATAGGGAAAAGCATGGTAAATGTCAATCTTACCCAAATAATACATTTGAAAAAATTATCAAAATTATCAAATAATTATAAAATTATCAAATTTCCACAAGCTGTTTTTGGTATTTGCTTAATGGGTGTGGGGTAAAAATATGGTAGAGCCCCTACCTGAGAAGTCTTTTTTTTTTTTTTTGGAGACAGAGTCTTGCTCTGTCGCCCAGGCTGGAGTGCAATGGCGCGGTCTCAGCTCACTGCAGCCTCTGCCTCCCGGATTCAAGTAATTCTCCTGCCTCAGCCTCCCGAGTACCTGTGAGCCAAGATCGCGCCACTGCACTCCAGCCTGGGCAAAAGAGGGAGACTCAATAGGCGTCTGCCACCATGCCCAGCTAATTTTTTGTATGTAGTAGAGACGGAGTTTCACCATGTTGGTCAGGCTGGTCTCGAAGTCCTAACCTCAGGTGATCCACCCGCCTTGGCCTCCCAAAGTGCTAGGGTTACAGGCATGAGCCACCATGCCCAGCCAGAAGTTTTAATAAGAGAATGCTACAGTTATTAGAAGGCAATCATTTCAAAGTCTGGATGGAAATGTGGAAAGTTAGAAATCAAATAAATTCAAGGGGATTGATAAAAATTTGGCATTGGCAACTACTTCTGACACTTTAAAAGTGTTAAACTCCTGCCTTAACATTAATGGATTAAAAACTCAATTATGTAATATTCAGTAATCTTTTGTTGCCAGGTTAAATTTTTTTCAGTCTGCACTGTCAGAAAAAATCACAAGATACTTCAACTTGGTCAGGTGTGGTGGCTCACACCTGTAATTCTAACACTTTGGGAGGCCAAGGAGGGTGGATTGCTTGAGCTCAGGAGTTCAAGACCAGCCTGGGCAACGTGGGGAAATCCTTTCTCTACCAAACATCGAAAAGTAGCTGGGAGTGGTGGCACGTGCTTGTGGTCCCAGCTACTCAGAGAGTGAGATGGGTAGATGGATTGAGCCTGGGAGGACGAGGCTGCAGTGAGCCATGATTATGCCACTGCACTCCAGCCTCAGTGACAGAGCGCGGTCTGGTCTCAAAAATAAAATTAAAAATAAAGGTACTTCAACTTATGTTTTATACAACCCTTGGGAAACTAGACAGGCTCTCAAACAATAAGAACCAAATTTGAGAGGAGAGACTAGAGAGAAGACAGGTGTCAACTGTAAAAGGGTAATACCATATTAATATTGTAGGCTGTAGTATCCAATGGTTTTCTGCATTTCAACAATGTTCATTTCCCCAAATAATTTTATTTTGCAGGTTTCTTCCTTTGGATGCAATGTTAAAATATTGTACATTTACTCCTTTTGATTCAGTTAACACACAAGTATTGAGCACACCTACAAGCACTAGTCAATGTTAACATTGTATAGATTCAGCAGCAAACTTCCTGACCCCATGAAGCTTACAGTCTAATGGACATCAATTCTGGCACCTTCATCAGTATACTTTTTTAAAGCCCAGGTCAAACTCATTTTCTAAGTCCTATTTCCTAGGTGACATGTCATAAATGTCAAAGTTTTGACAGATTCTTTACTGTACCACTTAACAAGGGTTCTCAGCTGTGTGGTCACTGGACCACTGGGATATGTTGAGCTATTGCTTAAACACTGACTTAAATAAAACAAATATTTTAAATAAGAGAATGCTATTGTAATTAGAAGGCAATCATTTCAAAGTCTAGATGGAGGCCAGGGGCAGTAGCTCACACCTGTAATTCCAGCACTTTGGGAGGCCGAGGTGGGTGGATCACATGAGGTCAGGAGTTTGAGACCAGCCTGGCCAGTATGGTGAAACCCCATCTCTACTAAAAATACAAAAAGTTGCCAGGCGTGGTGGTGCGCGCCTGTAATCCCAACCACCCAGGAAGGCTTAGGCAGGAGAATTGCTTGAACCCAGAAGGTGGAGGTTGCAGTGAGCTGAGATCGCATCACTGCATCCTGCATGGGCAACAGAACGAGACCCTGTTTCAAAAAAAAAAAAAAAAATCTAACTCATCTGTACAATAAATGTGGCATTACAAACAATGAGGCAGATCTCTATCTGCAAATGTGAAGCATTACAAATCGAATAAATTCAAGGAGGTTGATAAAGAAAATTTTTTCTCTCCTATGAAATCTGATTACAGGCATTCAGGTTGTACATGAGTTTTTTTTGTTTGTTTTTAATCACCTTGTAAAGCTTCCTTCCTCTGACAACTCTCTGATGTTCTTATTATTCTCATCATTTTCATACAATGTACCAGCAGCATGAATTTTGTGATGACTTACAAGATTTGATCGCCAGCTGAACCTCTTACCACATATCTCACATTTGTAAGGTTTCTCCCCAGTGTGAACTCGCCTATGATACTGTAGTTGTGAAGACCGACTGAAGACTTTACCACACACATCACATTTGTATGGCTTCTCTCCTGTGTGGACACTCTGATGAAGTTGAAGACTTGATGCCTGACTGAAGTGCTTCCCACACTCCCCACATGTATAGGGTTTTTCTCCTGTGTGTACCCTCTGATGCATGTCAAGGTTCAAGCTCCACTTGAAGCCCTTCCCACACTCATCACATTTGTATGGCTTTTCTCCAGTGTGGACTTTTTGATGGGCTTGAAGGTGTGCACTCCGACTGAAGCTCTTCCCACACTCTTCACATTTAAATGGTTTTTCCCCACTGTGAACTCTCTGATGGGTTAAAAGATGCGAGGCCTGACTGAAGACCTTCCCACACTCCTCACAATTATATGGTTTCTCTCCTGTGTGGATCCTACAATGAATTTTAAGATCTGCTCTACGACTAAATCCCTTGCCACACTCTTCACATTTGTATGGTTTCTCGCCGGTATGGATCAGCTGGTGAATCTGAAGTCGTGAGCTCTGATTGAAGCCCTGCCCACACTCCTCACACTTATAAGGTTTCTGTACACTATGTGCTTTCAGATGGATTTTAAGATATGAACTCTGACGGAAGGCTTTCCCACATACTTCACATTTATAGGGTTTCTCCCCTGTGTGGACTACCAGATGCACTTGATAATGAATTTTCATTCTGAAGCTCTTCCCACACTCATTGCATTTGTATGGCTTCTCTCCAGTGTGGACTCCCTGATGGGCCTGAAAACTTGAACTGTAAATGAAACCCTTACCACACACTTTACATACATATGGTTTCTCTCCAGTGTGGATTCTCTGGTGGGCCTGAAATTGTGATGGCTGAATAAAGCACTTACCACATTCTTCACACTTGTAAGGCTTCTCTCCTGTGTGGACCCTTTGATGGATACGAAGGTTTGAGCTACAAGTGAAACACTTACCACAGTCCTCACATTTGTATGGTTTCTCTCCTGTATGGACCATGCAATGATTATTAAGTGCTGATCTACGACGGAAGTTCTTACCACATGTATCACATTTGAATGGTTTCTCCCCAGTATGGATTCTCTGATGTTCCTGAAGATGGGAAGCATGTATGAAGGCCCTCCCACATTCCTCACAATTGTAAGGTTTCTCTCCTGAGTGTAATTTGCAATGCACAGTAAGTGTTGATCTACGACTGAAGCCTTTCCCACATTCCACACATTTGAATGGTTTCTCTACAGTGTGGACTCTCTGATGAGTTTGCAGATGTGAGCTCTGACTGAATTCCTTACCACACACGTCACACTTATAGCGTTTCTCTCCCATGTGGACTCTCTGATGAATATGAAGGGCTGAGATGTAACAGAAGCTTTTTCCACACTCATCACATGTATGAGATTTCTCTCCTGAGTGTAACTGTTGATGAAGATCAAAGTTGCAGACGTCAGTAAAGGATTTTTTGTACTTATCACATTGGTAAAGTTTCTGTCCCGTGTGAGTTGTATACAGTCCTGCCCTAACCTGGCAGGACAAATCACCTTGTTTGGAGAACCGAGAAATATTTATCATAGAGTCTTCATACTTGATTAAATCACATGCAATCTGTTTCCAGATTTGCCCCCAGGAAAGCTCTTCATGTCGTCCTGCTTCTGGAACAGTCTCCATCTCACTTTGGATCTTGTCTGCTGTAAAGACAGAGAATTCAGAGATGTGGAAGCTCTGTTAAAAGTTTTCAAGATGTCATACTTAAGTGAGAGCATGGGATTTTAACAAATCCAGAGAAGGTCCAGTTTGTGTAATGGTCTTTTCCACTGTGTATCATGATCTCTGATTTCCATGCCTAGATAAATCAAGAGGTGGTCCAATTGGCTGCTATCTACCAGGCATTAGACCATACCAAGTCTCCTATGTGAGACACAAGGTAGAAGTCAGAGTTAATTTTAAAATTTAACATGATACAAATTGTTAAAGTACTGCCATTTCCATCCAATTTTAAAGTCAGTGTAGAATAATAAATAGTAAATTATACAAATATAAAAAGCATAGGCCAGGCATGGTAATGCCTGTATATCCCAGAATTCTGGGAGGCTGGGGCAGAAGGATAGTTTGAGGCCAGGGGTTTGAGACAAAGCAAGAATGTATCTCTATTAAAAATATTAAAAGTTAAAAAAATGTAGATAATATGAATCAACAAGAACTTCAAGGGAAAGTAAGAAAATAATCAAATACTTTGCAGTTTAGGTTCATGTTACATATTCAAATTATTAAATAACCTGAAATATTTATATTTACATGTTCAAAATACTGTTGAACCTTGAACAACACAGGTTTGAATTGCATGTGTTCACTTATATATGGATTTTCTTCCATCTCTGCCATCCCTAAGACAGCAAGATCAACCCCTCCTCTTCCTCCTTATAATGTTCTTAATAACATTTTCTCTTCTCTTTATTGTAAGAATAAAGAATTCTTCCTTTATGGTAAGAATACAGTATATAATACATTATAACATAAAAATATGTGTTAATTGACTATGTTATCAGTAGGTCTTTCAGTCAAAGTAGGCTATGAGTAAAGTTTTATGGGGGAGTCAAAAGTTATACATGGATTTTTTACTGTGAGGGGAGTTGGTGTCCCTAACCCCCATATTGTTCAAGGATCAACCATATTATTGAATATTCCGCATAACACATACACTTAATCTTATTTTTCTGTGTTGATAGACATTAAATGAGTTGGCAGCTATTATAAACTCTTGACCACCTCTAATATAACTTAGATTTAAAATGTGTCTTCTGAAAGGTTTATTTATCCTTAATAATATTCCAAAATGTGTAATCTTGTACAAAGACATATAAATATTTGGAAATTATTTTTTAAATGAACTTTTCCACAAAAGTTTAGTGGAAAGAAGTACCTCTAAGAAAATTTTTACAGGGGAAAAACTTACTCCCCTCCCTGCAGGAATAGTCACTTAAAAGCTGCCTCTTGGCAGGGTGCAGTGGCTCACACCTGTAATGCAAGCACTTTGGGAGGCTGAAACCGGAGGATCACTTGAGCCCCGGAGTTCAAAACCAGCCTGGGCAACACAGCAAGACTCTGTCCCTACAAAAAAACTTTTTAAAAAATTGGCCAGATGTGGTGGCACGCACCTGTAGTTCCCACTATTTGGGAGGCTGAGATGGAGGATCACTTGAACTCAGAAGTTAGAAGCTGCAGTGAGCCATGATTTTATCACTGCACTTCAGCCTGAGTGACAGAGTGAGACTTTGTCTCAAAAAAAAAAAAAAAAAAGTCTACTGTATCAGTAGACATTTGTTAAATGGAGTCTATATAACTCTGCCTTGGGTCATTTTATTGGAAAGTTACTTCAATGTCCAGGTGACTGGAATGGTTAACATGACTTGCAGGCTGGGAGCAAGTATCTAACCACATACTGACTAAAATATAAGCAGATAAGCAGATGGTGAAACTTTAGCTTCTGTCAGCAAGTTTCCTACATGAGGACTAAAGGGAAAGAAAGTTGAACTGATAACATATATTATTCTAAAATCTGGCAGTAATTCAGACCTCCAGAAAAAAAAAAAGAAGTGAAAAAGAAGTAGACTCCAATATTTCACAACTGATATGGAGACAGAGAAAAGAAAAAGATGATGTCACAGTGTAAACTTTGAAAGCCGCCCCCACAGCAGGAGTTATATTCAGGCAGGAACTCTTCCCAGATAGCGAGATGGACAGTTCCTCATATCTTGTAGGTCTCTGCTCAATGTCAGCTCACCAATGAGGCTTGCTTTATTACCCATTGAAAAATAATGAATTCTGTCTTCACCCTATTCACCTCTGGCAACTTGAATTTGTCTATGTTCTTCACAGCACTTTTAACCACTGGGCACACTAAGTTACTGGTTGTTTAATGTATGTCCTTCCCACCACAATGCAGCATCAACAAGGGAAGCATTTTCTAATTTTGACATAATACTCATTTTACACTTTCCTACTTTCTAACCATTGTCCAGAACTGTGCTTGTCACAGTGAATGCTCAATAAATGCATGTCAAATGAATAAATGACCCAGCTTGACTCTTTTTTTGTCAGAATTTAAACATCTTTTCCAAATAAGTTATTTGAAATAGGAAAATAATAGAAAATTGTAATTTTTCAGAGAAGCTGAAAAGCTGTATAAGAGACAGGCACATTCAGGGTGAGGCTAATAAGAAAATTTGAAGGTGGCAAGAATCACTTGGGATGAAAAGAAAGCAGGAAGCCCTATACACTGGTTCCTTCTGAAGCTCTCAATGTAGGTAAGTTGGGCCTTTTACAACAGTTTTTCAAATTAAAAACTGTAGCCCTTTAGTGAGCTGTGAAATAAACTTAAGAGCTTATAATAAGCAATCAGAAAAAAAGAACCAGGATAGAAACTATCAGAGTATTAACACCAACAGGAAAGGGGTCCTTATGTATAATGCTTACTAAAGCTATAATGTCAATCGATACAGACATGAAATGTTTGTTTCATTTCTCTAGTTTCCATGAAAGATGCATTTCTTGCTATGGCTTATGCTCAAAAGAGCTGGAAAACTTTGGTTCTAGAACTTACCTGGTCCTGAATTAAACAAACTGCTTCAAATGGAAAGATAATTTCCAACCGCGACACCTTGGAAAAATATTCATAGGAGAGTATGTAACTCTTGGTATATTATATATATATACACATGAGTGTATACATATATGATGAATATATGATATTTAACAAACTAACCCTTAAAAATAGTTTTTGGATGGGGACAAGTCTCTCTGATAATGTGACAATTTTGAGCAAGAAGTTTCTTCATTTTTCCCAAGTTATAATGTCAACTAGTTGAAAATAAAAGCCAGGTCTTTATAAAAATAAAGGAAAAAATGTATGACATCTATATTCTTTAGCATATGCTTAGTGGCTACTACATTGGTAGAAAATAAAAGCATAGCATATTTTTGAACCAGAGAGTTAGGCAACATTCAACTGTGTCACTTTTGCCACTCAAATCTTCCACCTCTGGCATAGGGGAGGTGAAACCTGGGGGCAGTGATGTGGATGGGCACTTCGGAACAAGCAAATGAGGTTCAGATGGGCAGTCTGTTGAAAGGAAAGCAGTTTGCAACCTAGTTACTATCTGACACCTTAGGAAATAATTATCTTCTTGTGTGGTGAGCTGTCTCAGAAGTAGACATCAGAATCTTCATTCGAAGATTATTCCTTCCCAGAAATGAATGTGTTCCATACTATGAAAGCCTCCAGGAAAGCCAACGGGAAGGCTTGTTACTCAGTGTGGTCACAAACAGGATGCTTGTAAGTTTTCATGGGATGAGGTTCAAGTGCACACACAAACATTCATGTGAAGGGCACCTAACGCAGAAGAAACTGGATGTGCAGCCATCAGAAAACAAATAATGTTCTGCAACCCCCTTCATTCACTCTGGTTTGTGTATGACCTGTCCTAGCTGCAAGACCCCTAGAGTGAGGTCGCATCCATCCATAACGCCTTCATTACACCAACAAATAATTATATTAACAGATATCTGCCATGTAACAGAATTATTTAGGCACCAATGGTAGAGTAATAAACAAACAAAAAAATTCCTCCACTCTTGGAGATTATATTCCAGTGGGGAGAAAGAGGGGACAAGCAAGTAAACCAAAGTCTATGAGACACAAGAGAAGGCAGGGCAGAGTGTAAAGGATGGCATTTCCAGTAAGGTCGTCAGAAAAGGCCTCCACTGTGAAATTAAAACAGCAGAGACCAGGATGAACTAAGAGAGGGGCCGAGAGGATTGTAGGTGAGTTTTTCCAGGCAATGACAAGGGCAAATAAGGGCTTTGAGGCAGAAGTATCTGTAGTTGGCAGAATAATCATCCCCCAAAGAATTCACGTTCTAATTCTCATCCTAAGAATATGTCAGGTTATGACAAAGGGTAATTAAGGTTGCAGAGGGAATTAAGGTTGCAAATCAGCTGAACTAAAAATAGAAGGCAATTCTCTATTATCCAAGTGCGCCCAATGCAATTAGAAGGTCCTTATACAGTGGAAAAAGGATAAAGAGAGAATAAAAGGGAAATGTGACTATGGAAGAAGGATCAGAGAAGCAATGTCGCTGGGCTGTGAAGAGGTCACAAACTATGACATTTTTTGGCAGCCCCTACACACTGACAAGGTAAGGATACAGATTCTCCCTCCCTAGAGCCTTCGGGAAGAAACGGACCTGCTGACAGCTTGATTTCAGCCTAGTGAGACCCATGTTGGACTTCAAACAAAGAACTGAAAGACAATACATTTTTATCATTTAATCCACTCAGTTTGGGATAATATGTCATGAGACCAGTAAGAATACAGTGTCCAGGTTGGGCACGGTGGCTCATGCCTGTAATCCCAGCACTTTGGGAGGCTGAGGCAGGCAGATTACTTGAGTTCAGGAGACCAGACTGGCCAACACAGTGAAACCCTGTCTCTACAAAAAATACAAAAATCAGCCGGGCGTGGTTACAGGCATCTGTAATCCCAGCTACCTGGGAGGCTGAGGCAGGAGAATCGCTTGAACCTGGGAGGCAGAGGTTGCAGTGAGCTGAGATTGCACCGCTGCACTCCAGCCTGGGCGACAGAGCGAGCAGTGTCCTTAGCAGGTCTGGGAAATAGCAGGGAGGATGATGTGGCTGGAAAAGATGGAGCAAGAGCTAGAATACAGGAGATGTAGTCAGTGAGGCAGAGGAGGATGAACAGCAGACCACGTAGGACTCTATAAGCTCCTTTAAGAGTCTTCAACTTTAAGAAAAATAAGAAGCCATTCAGAGTCTTTATTTTTTTTTTAGATGGAGTGTCGCTCTATTGCCCAGGCTGGAGTGTAGTGGTGTGATCTCGGCTCACTGCAACCTCTGCCTCCTGCCTAAGCTGCCCAAGTAGCTGGGACTACAGGCGCTCGCCCCCACGCTTGGCTAATTTTTGTATTTTGAGATGAGGTTTTGCCATGTTGGCCAGGCTGGTCTCAAACTCCTGACCTCAGGTGATCCTCCGGTCTTGGCCCCCCAAAGTGCTGGGATTACAGGCGTGAGCCACCATGCCCAGCCCTGTACAAGGTCTTAAGCAGAAGAATGGCAATTTGACTTACATTTCCAAAGGATCACTTTAGCTGCGACATGGAGAACAGCCTGTAGGAGAACATACTTTATACTATTAAGGGTGGAAGCAGTGCGCCCAGTACAAAGGCTGCTGCAATCATCCAGGACAGAGGTTTGGCAATTTGGACCAGATGACAGCAACAGCAGGGGACAGAAGTACAACAGATGGACAATCACGTACAAGGACTCTCAGCTACTTGGTTCTTACCTGATTTCCCTTTTCTTTGAGTTGCTGTCTTCATCATACCAAGCTTTTTTTCCTTTTCTAAAGGGAATACATCATGTTTGAAGGGGTGATGCCCTAGAACATGCAAAGTCACATGTTTAAAACAAACACACTAAAGGTACAACTGAACTTACTGGCAATTTGAATTACTACTGTAAACTGATCAATCAATCAAAAGAAGGGTTTTCAAACACTTTTAGAAACACCTAATGAAGTAGTATCAGTATTTCAAGATCCAGAAACATATACACAAATATGTGCTATAAAAACCTATTACTGAAAGGAGTTAGTTCGCTTGCCTTAGGTAGACAGCAAGGGAAGGGTCTTTGGAGAGCTCCTGACCCATGGGTTAGTGCCTTATTTTTATAAAACA